GTCATCGGTGTAGTCACTTTTTTTATTAAGAGTGTCGAAGAATAATGGTGTGTGGTCGTTAAAATAAAAGAAAAAAAACGTTAGTTGGATACCTAGTGTGGCTATAGCTACACCCCTGGTTTCCCTCTATCCTTAATCAGAGATCTCATATTAAATTCAGTTAAAGTTTTGGATTTGAAAAGAATTTTATTGAGAGCGTTATTCCAGAATGAGTCCTATAATGCACAATCATAACATAATCAGACTGTAATATAAATACTGAACATCGAATGAAAAAATAAAAAAAAATACTGATAGAATATGAAATTCATGAGCACATTGTAGTCCTGCAGCTGGGCAGCCTTTGACTCGAAAACTTCAAAGAAATAACCATATCTTATTTAAAATTATCCCAATCTAGATCTAGAACGCATTTTTATTGTGAATTTTCATACAAATTCATACGTTGTATCGTAAATATCAACTTTAGATAAATTCAATACTATAAAGTATAAAGTTGCATTCGCCTGAATAAATATTAATTCAGATTAGCTCCGCACAAGACAATTAAAAGCAATTGAAAAGCACTCATTAATTATAAAAGAAAATATTTCATTCGCAATTCGGCGCAATTCTAAGCTTCTATTCATGACGAAATTTTTTATCTATTCTATCAAAGTCTCACGTAATATATCTTGATGACAGATATAATAACGTTGGGTTCACAATAACATGTTGCTTTAAATGCTTATTAGAAAATGAAATTCATAATTAAAATTTGACTTATATGTGCTACGTATACAGCGTATAGGGATAACAATAACATTAATAAATAATTGGTAATATTATTGATAACTCATTTTGTAGTTGGGAGCTAGTAGGAAGATGGAATTCATGTGATAAATTGTGCTACACTTTTGTTTGGAGAGGCAGACAAGATATTCAAATTCACACGAAATTTTTTTTATTTAGTCGAATGATTTTCGGTTCTTTTTTACGATATAGCTATAAATCAAGCTTTAAAGTATTTTTTTATATTCAAGTGACTTTTAGTTCTTTCTTACGATTTTTTGTGTCGATATTTGAGGAAGTAATTACTCTCAATACAAGGGGGTGATAATTTATTATTCATTTGTTATGGTGTCACTCTCTCTTCATTTTTACTTGATACGAGGTACTTATTTAGAGTGAATTTAATTGATGCTTAGAGTTAAATTGAATCGTTTTAATTTAATATAAAAAAATAAAATTTAGATGTTGAAACTTCTTAAATTATTATATGATAAAATACATTTTGATATATTGGTAAAAAAATCATGTAATTTGACTCTTATATAAAATGTGATAATTAAAAATGAACCGATAAATAATATTACATCATTATTATTAAATATTTTTTAAGGAAGAGTATTGAATATGGACATTTGTTTGTTAAATAAGAATGGAGAGTTTTATGTGAGTGAGTTTCTTGGCAATTTCAAGAAAGTTCTAGAGGTTTTCTTTTTATGAAAAGTACAAATTCACCCTTTTTGTAACTTTTATCTTCTTTTTATTACAGTGAGTTTTTTTTAATATATACAAAGTAGTAAATCCTATTTCTTCACCGTTTCAACAAGGTTTTTGAGGTTTTGGTATACATTTAATTTGTCCAAAAGATTTTAAAACATAGTACAATATTTGTGATGACCCAAATACGTAAATAAACAAAAATAGATGTGAATCAATTCTACATTTAATATATAAACATGTTCTAAAATTAAAGATACTAAATAAAATAAAAAATAAAATAAAATAAAATTGATGGTGTCAATATTTAAGCACTCCCCAATTTTAGGGATAATTGGCGTTCTTTGAAACTAATGAGCTACTTTAAATGTTATTATAATTAAGAAGTCAATTGCTTACAGCATGAAGTCAAAATTGATACTCCAAAGGAGAAGATTATGGCAATGCCAAGTCAATAGCCCATAATTTGGATATAGAAAAGATGACTTATTAGATAGAAATAATATATAAACATGTTCTAAAATTAAAGATACTAATCCAAACACTTCACTTCCACCAATTTTTTTTTGGACATTTTCAATTGTTTAGATGAATTAAAGAGTCTGCCTTCTCCATTTTCAGAAAAAAAAAAAAAAACTTAAATAAGAAAGTGTAGAAAATAATGCAAGGTATCTTTGATAACCTTTTTTTATATGGATAAGTCTCTATCTTTCATTGTTGTTTTTGGGTACAAACTCTAAATAAGAGATTGTGGAGATTTTATAGCATTAGATCACATGGAGTGTTTTCAAAACAACTAAAACTACAATTTCTTTTAAGTAAATTAGTTACGAAAGTTGTCACTAATCGGACACTAAATAATTTGTATCTAATAGTGTAGAATCTTTTAGTAAGTTTTCACTAAATAGGATTAGGGACAAAACTTTGTTATTTAGCGATAGAATTGTTTGGCCCTAATTTCTTTTTCTTTTTCTTTTTCTTTTACAATTGCAAATTATATATGATTGATAAATTAGACGACAAATAAAAGTATACTAAAGATATATTATTGATATGATTCGGTCAAACGACCTACATCTTGAAAACTAATATTAAAAAAATATATATATGTTTAGGAGAAAATCTCCCCTAAACAAGACTTTTAAACGACTACATTGTGGATTTTATTTTGTTCTTGATATGAGAAGAGGATATTCAATTTATAGAGTTCCAAACTTTTCTTCTAAGGAAAGAATAAACAAATATGGAAGAAAAATATATTTTCCTTTCATGAAAAGTAAAAACATTTCTGGTAATGTTTCGTCTTTTCTTTTAGGAAAAAATAAAATTCAAATAAGGTTAGAAAATCAGGGCAAAACCCTAACAAATCTCCCCTTTTGGCTGGATTTTCTTGACAAAATTTGATCCACCTTCTTCACATGTATGATAATTTTTGTTCTTCACATAGTCTTCATCACTGCTGCTTGTCATGGTTAAAAATAAAGTTTAAAATATATGGGTTAAAAATGGTTTTAAAATATTTCATTTTTACTTTTAAAGATACAGCAGCGGAAATGTTGAAAATATGGTTTAAATCTCTTCTCCACATGTAGTTGGACAAAAATCTTCATTATCATCGAATTTGTAGCAAATTGATTTGAAACCACCTGAATCTGTCTTCACTTTTGTTCAACCATTGGATCATTGAACCATGTGCTTTGATACCACTTGTTGAGTTATGAAGGTGATTATGCGTCATGCGGAAGCTTACAATTGTAAATCATATATGGTTGATAAATCAGACGACAAATAAAAGTATACTAAATATATATTATTGATATGATTCGGTCAAACGACCTACGTATTGAAAACTAGTATTAAAAAAAATATAAATATGTTTAGGAGAAAATCTCCCCATAAACAAGACTCTTAAACGATTACATTGTTGATTCTATTTTGTTCTTGATATGAGAAGAGGGTATTCAATTTATAGAGTTCCAAACTTTTCTTCTAAGGAAAGAATAAACCAAATATGGAAGAAAAATATATTTTCTTTTCATGAAAAGTAAAAACATTTCTGATAATGTTTTGTCTTTTTCTTTAGGAAAAAATAAAATTCAAATAAGGTAAAAAAAATCAGGAAAAAAACCCTAACAAATATCTCCACCCCACCCCATCCCACCCAAAAAGAAAAGAGTATTGTGGGACATACAAATTTTACTTACAAGTATTGACATTGATCCATCCCTCTCCATGTGCACAAAGTAGGTGATAAGTTATATGCTTGCACTCAATGTTATTTTCTCCGTCTCATAAAAGTTATTCATATTAAGTATTTGTAAAAGTGTAAACAAGTTTATAAAGTCTTACATGTATGCATGGTCCAATTTGTTACACAAACCATTTTTCTATGAATAATAATTAGACTTAGATTTGATGAAGTCATATCTCCCCATCTGTCCCATAATGTGGCAAACCCATTATATTGTGTTCATATTCAACTCTAGAAGAAATAAATGAGAATTTATAGTTTCAGCCAAAATATGGTTACATTTTCTTATCCTAAAAACTACTTAGGTGTAAGTTTTCTATATCTCACAAAAGGTCCTCCTATCTTCTATTTTCTTCCACTCTAATATTGACATGTTCTATCTATTCTAGGAAGGAAAATAAATAAATAAAAGAGAGGGGAAAAAGAATACCTTAAAATAAGTCATCTTTGATTGTGATATTAACTTGCTTTGCCTAAGCTTTGATTATTGTATCTAGAAACAATCAATCATCCGCTCTGAATAAATTTTATTTTTTTTAAGTCGATGATGATCTATCGGAACTACTTTTTTTACCTTACAAAGAGAGTAAGGTACGTATACATCTTACTCTTTTCAGACCTTACTAATGGAATTACACTGAATAAGTTGTTGTGAATAGTCAATACTATTAAAAGAACCGCCTAAAATCGACCTAGAAAAGCCGACCTCAATAGAGATTGGACTTCAGAGGTCGGTTTTTTTTTTAAAATTGCGCTAAAACCCGAGAAAATCAAGAGACTTTCGAAAGGTCGATTTTTTTTTAAAAATAAATAAATAATTAAACGGTTTCTTTAGGTGGATGTTTCACCAAAATATATTATTTAAAGAGTAATAAAAAAGAAAGAAAAAAAGGTGTTTATTGCAATTTGTATCTCTGTAAGTGACATGCAACAGTTCAACATAGACCATTATTGTGAATACATTAATAACATAACTGATTTACAACTAATTGTAGAAAAAACTTGTTGAAATTGATTAGTTATTTGCCCCCACAAAATTATAATGATTGAGATTGTGTAGACAGGTACGTGCTTCCTAATAACCATGAGTTAATTGCTTCTTGTACTTTTTCTCAACTTATCAACACACTTCATCAGTGGTGTATGTAGGATTTTTCGTTACATAACTTCATTGGCATACACATGAATTTTCGTAAGCGATATCGAGGTATATATATTGGTGTGCATAGACTTCTCTACTGAAGGTTTCAAAGCAAAACAGAACAATTATGTTATAATGAAGATCAAGATACATACAACACAAGAACATAGTAACATATCATGAAATTTCACTAAAACACATTTGGCCTTTAAAAACAACACCATAAAAGTGTGGCCTTTAGATCAAAGGCCATGCTTTTCGACTTTAGACAACGCTTTTCTTAACCGGATATTCCTGCAATGAGAGATCTGGATGATCTAGTTTGACGTTCGATAAGTAACAAGACTCTAGCAGCTTTCCTTTGGAGATGTCCATCTTCATAAATTCTACCTCCTGTTAAACGCGCGAGATGTAACTTAGCTGTTAGTCCATAGAGATCCACCATTTCCCTTGACATAAACACTTTTTCCAGGACCCCTAAAGCTTCTCCCTTTAAAGATTCTGATCCCCAGTTTAGAACTTCTATGATTGGTGATATTGCATCCTCCTTGTGCAGCACATTGGCTCCTCTATGAGGCGATTCTTCACAGACCAGAGTTGAGAGTGTTTGAATCGCCTCATAAGACGTGGCATGTATCTTTTCTTTTAAGAGTTTAACCAAATCAGGCAATGCATTTACCTCCAATAGACAGAATGTTTTGCTCACGCTGCAGGCACCCCCGTGGGCAGGACAGATAGGAGCACGTGCTCGTCCAATACAGAAACAAGAAGCTTTCCTGGATAATGCACTGAGTTCATGACTGCGCATTGATAGATCCGTTAATAGTGCAGCTGCTCTTGCTTGTGCAGTTATTGAATCAGCTTTGAGAAAGCTTACCAGTATAGGATATGCTCCAAGTTCAACCACGTTGCGTTGAGACTCGAGATTTGTTGGATCTGTGAACCTGAAGAAGGCACTAAGAGCATTTTCCTTAGCCTCCATGGTACCGGATTTCAAGATGTTAATGATTGCCTTTAGGCCACCTAATTCTATGAGTTTCTCTCTGAGTGAAGTTTCCGATTTAGGAAGGTTGGCTAGTAAACCGGCTGCAGCCATCTGTACATCACCTTTGCTATCATTTTCAAGAAAACCAACTAAAGCTTCCAATCTTCTTGGCTTAAGAAGATACTCAACGACACCCTCTGGCTCGTGCTGTGAGAAGAGGAAAAGAAGATTGATTGCTGCTTCTCGTATTTCCTGGTTCGGATCATCAAGAAGGGGAAGGACAGCTGAAACACCACCGGCAGAGAGAACTGCTGATTTGACAAGTCCAGCTTGAGATTGACAGATTCCTAATAGTGCACGTAAAGCATGCCTACGAACAGGGTCCGAGGAGGATGTAAGATTCTGTTGAAAAGCCAGCAAGTACGCGATTACAGGCTCTAGTACAAGTTGGTTTCCAGTTTCATCGATCAAGAACTTAACTCCATCACCATTGGCAGATAGATTAGCTAGAACTTCACAGCACTTAGCGATGATAATTGAACGTACATGGGATGAAATCATTAGCTTTAAAACGATAGCAACCCCTCCAGCTGCAGCTATAAGCATCTTATTGTCATAAAAGCTTGATAGCTTCACAAGTGCAGATAATGAAAGTTCTTTTGATTCAATATTTCCAGATGTCATCTCAAGCAGAGGAAGAATAAACCCTTTCTCCCCGAGAAGCTTCATATCTTCATCCCTGAGTTCCAAACCGAGAATTGCTCTAACAATTGACATTCTTGAAGATGCTGATCCTGAAGATAATTGAACGATATAACTAAACATAAAACTCAAAAAAAAAAATGTATATGCTGGAACTAGGCTGATATATTAAGATTATTATCTATATCCATGTGCAACTGTAACATATAACACATAAGAGTGTTGCAGCTATGCTTACCATGGTGTAACGTATCGATAAGTGGTCCATACCATCCCTCTCGAGCAGCCTTAACAATGTTCTCCTCTTCCTCATCACAAAGCTTAGCCAGGATTTGTTCTGCTTTTTCAGCTGATGGACTGGCCTGATTTTTGACAAAGGAGACGAGAAGCAAGATTGAATTGGACTGCTGAGAAAGCTTCTGGCAATAAGGCAAGTTCCAACTAGACTGATCTTGGAGAACCTCATATATCAGCTCAATTGCAGCGGTTGAAGTGGCATAGTTTTTTCCGAAGCATGCTACAACATTCTCAAACCCCTGGTTCTCAACGAATACGTCCTATAAATTATATGGAATAACAGTTTGATTAGGAACAAAGCTTAAGACTTGCATGCATATTTGCTCATACATCCTGATCCTAGCCCCGGGCTTAAGGAGAAACAAGGGAAATTCAGGAAAACTAGAAAAGACATCTTTCTCGAGGACAGGATTATAACAAATGGACCGTGATTCCGTAGACTATATAGCATGGGGACCAAACACGGACAGACCTGGTTCGAAAACCATCATGAGAAATGGACCTCGGGCCTAACTCAATCCCGAAAGATAGCTCAAGAGGTGAGGAGTGAGGATTGTGTGAGACCATATAAGGAGTCCAATTTTCCTTTCCACAGCCGATGTGGGATGCAACACTCTGCTTTGGACAAGTAACCTCAAAGACTAAAACTACATTGACAAAAGCAAAAATCTAACGCTAAATAGGACCTAAATTATTAAGTCAATAACATTGCTAACTCCGGTAGCCCCTATTAGATGATATGAAATGATCCACCTGATAAGCCATATATTAACCCCACCCCCTGACGTCCGTTCTTCACTATCCTGGTGTCCTATACTTAGAAACAACTAAGCATGGAAAAGTAGGCCAAGCATATGTTAGTAACCACAAGCAACAAGCAAAGCACAGCACAATGCATAAACCAATCAATAATTCTAGAGTGCAAACAGTTAAATGAGAAATTAAACAAAAATCTTACTGTTCATTTTTTCAGACGAAATACTTAAGTCCTGCATGAAATATATATGTGATACGGCTATACGGAACAAAAGTAAAAGGCCATAGTATTCTAGGTGAAAGCAGAATTACATGAATGAATAAGTTATGGAATTAGCCATTTCTGAGAGTGTATGCTTACTTTCACATTTTCTTTTTTGATATTTAAAGAAATTCACTCACCTTGTTTCTAGCATGACCATCTACGACGTCCTTTAACGTAATCATCACTTTATCTTGCAGATATCCGTTACGCAACATGCCAAGCTTGGAGATGACAACTTCAGTGAGTCCCCCGATTGTCACCCATTCTTTATTTATCGAATTTGCTTTCATTAGTTCTTGCATTTGTGCAAGAGCCTCCTCAATTGATGCATCCACTCCAGAAAGAAATTTCCCCTTGCAAGCCCTGATTATGATGCAATAGTTGAGCTCTTTCCACTCCTGGATTAGTTGTCTCAATTGGAGGTTTGGCCTGATCGACAAATCCTGCAGCTCTTCACCTGTTTCCGGATCAATTTTCTCCCCCGAGTCAAACCAAGCTTGGATAGAAGCTCTCTCACAGGCAGTACCGGTACATAGGCTTACAGGATCTACCATTATAATTCCTGTTATACAACAAATAAAAGCTTTAAATGGCTGAATGTATTCTTCTCTAGGATCATATCCCTCTATAATGCTAACTCTCTGGAAATATTGGCTTTTGACTTCCTCATAATTTCTTGCAGCATCGGCTCGTGAGAGCAGCTCAATGACTTGATTCAAAAACAAGACTTCAGCTCTCTCTTTCCGGTAAGCAGCTTCTTCTTTCTCTTTTTTGAAATTGTCTAGCTCTTTCGTTATCTCTGCTGGCTCCACTGGCACCCCAGCAGCCCTTGCTATTTCTTTAAGAATATTGTTAGCAAATTCTTGGTCATGTATCTGATCCGATAGACCTTGGTTTAACTTGTTAACAATTTGGAGACGCGACTGAGATGCCTCAAAGTTAGCTCTTTGCATTTCATTCTGCAGCCTATTTACCTCTTCTGAAATCCCTGACAAAACTTCCATGTTGACAAGGGATAACGCGGCCAAAGATTTTCCAATGTCCCTAGTGACTTCCTGTACCTCCTTAACAATGCTCCTACACTTGACCAGCAAGTAGAAACGGGCTCGGTTCTTATACTTCTCAACCAAGTCATTAGCCTTCTTTAAGTCAGCTTCAATGGATTCCAAAGCTTGCCTTGCAGCCGGGGAATCGTTTAACTTCTGCAGCTGCAATTCTTTCAAGACAGGCTCAATGTCCAAAAGATAGTTCCCAAGAACCTTAAAACTCTCCTTCTCAAATACTACATCATTCGCAGCTTGAGCAGTTTTCATTACTTGACTACTAATCACAGCCAAAATAGTCCCAATTGGAACTAACTCCGCCATTACGATACAACTATCAAATTCAAATGACACTTGTTCTCCTGACTTGATCACTAAATCTATGAAAGCTAAGCAAGTTCTTTTGCATTCAACATACTGTCTCTACTCCAATAATCTACTCACTAATCACTGTTTCAGATTTTCGACAAATTAAGCAGCTTTCCCGAAGGTGAAAATCTGAGATTCTACATAAACCAACAAAGTAGTGTAAATATTCCTCATGAAAGTTTGGTACTTGCATATAAATAAACAAGAGAAAAGAAGCTAAAAATGCTAATCTTATCAACTAATGTGTACAAAGTTCAATTCTACCTGGAAAAAAATGGATTTTTATTCTTTCAAGAAGAACTAAGAGATGAGTGAGTGCAAATTATACACTTTGAAGATAATCAAAAGGAAATGAAACAAAATTATAACAATTATGTAACTTTACGACAGCCTATGTTGCTCTGACTCTTCAAAAATACCACCAGATGTTGTCAGATCCTCAAAAAGCTAAAAAAAAAATTGGAGGATTCAACATGAATGTTCAACATTTTTGGAGGGTCCGAGCAACATAACTAACAACTACATCACTACTAAGGCTTACTCTTTCCTAACAATTGTAACTTCAAGAATTATGAACTCAAGCAAGTAAATACAAAATCCAGAGAAAATGCACCTTTTTTAATATTTGAAAGCAAGAATGAAGAACCCCATTGCTGATTAAGGCATAAACTTCACAAGAAACTTATTACTTTGAGTATTGAAAGATTTTACAAATCAATTTATCCCAAAAAATCTCAAAATTTCAGTGCAGAAGAAGAAAAAAACAAGAAGTTACCTTCTCTTTTTTTTTTCTGCTACTCCAAGCTGAAAGGAAATTCTTATGATGACTAGAATTTTCATCAGTTAAGAAAAGACTCATTATTTTTAATTATATTAGAAAGACCCATTGACTCATCCAAGTCAATGGACACCAAGAAAACAACACAACAAATTAAAATTCTTCATCTCATTTTCTTGGAAGAAGCATGCCATAATAATATATTGGAAGTTTTAAAATTCATTGTTGACTAAAGTTCAAATTCCGGCAAAATAAAAAAAATCTGAACGTTTTCTTTTTGTTTGCTTAAGTCTTGGTAGAATGTTGCACCGGCCAACACGAACACCATCGTCATTTTAAAGAAATAATTCGATAAACAAAGTATAAAGAAGTTGTTTTTGATAGATTATGATTATACAATTCTATAAATATATATATTTTTTTTAAAATGCACTTCCAAAACTTAGCAACTTATTGAAATTGGAATTTTTTTTCTACTTTAATTCTTCCATATGCTAAAGTGTAAGGACATAGCTTTTTACATTTTTTTTTAAGAGTTAAAATGTGTAACGTAAGCTGCCCTTGAATTGCTTTGTATTTACAAATTATAATTTCTGAAAGTGAAGGCAGAAGTGACCAATATGAAAAGATAAAAAAGAAAAAAGAAAAAAAGACTTTAAATGGGAAAAGGTTAGCTGAAATTTCCATGTGTGGAACCCATGCATCTAATACAGATAACAGACGTAGACATCCTTTTAATTATGTCCAGTCAAATATTAAAGAAGGGCCTTTTGCCCCTAAGACATACGCCGAACTCAGTAGCGGAGTCAGAATATTCATTAAGAAGAGATTGTCACACATTTCAACAACTAGAGTGATTAAAGGTGGAGAAACACTTTGTAGATAGGTTTTCTAATACAATCACTGGCTTTGCTACACAGTTTTATTGGCAACAAACTCACTTATTGGTGAACACTAGTTAGCACATCCATCTCTTCGCTGAACAGAAAGGACTCTGGATGTTCCTTTGTGCAAACATTACTAACAGACCTACAAATTCTTCTACGCCTCTTCGTTTTGTGGGGTTGCACATTTTCCTCAGCTCCGCATTGCTTGGTCCCTCTCTCTCTTCCGGCCTATTTCTTTTGCAATCTCCCTCAGTTCCTCGGGCGATTGGGGCCTTACAGTTTCTGTAGGATAAACTACATATTCACGCTTCACAAGCAAAAAAACATGGAAGTTGTAAGCCAAAGATATATATTGAAACTGTGTTGCAAAGAGTTACAACACCAATCATGGTATAAATTCATTCAGATATTTAATATGATTTGGAGATGATCATTATTACAGCATCTGCTCAGTGAAGAGCTAATTCCAATGAGGTAGCTTCATGCTAAATCTACATCAACTGATAGAATATAGCACTGAAATTGAACTGGACTTGAAGTTGAACCCATAGGAAATCAGAAAAAATGCAGAAAAATGAATATTATCTTGATGAATACTATTGGTTGCAAGGAGAAATTGGAATAACTAAAGCCCAGAATGAAAAGCATAAGCCCTCTCTTGTGATAAAACACATCCACCAAATTATCTTCTTCTTTGTTTGTTGGGGATGAGGGATATGGGGGTGGGGGGAGTCATATCAATTAAAGTTAAAATGGTTTTGATATTTAAGTGACATCATAACCCTGATGGCATCTGAACTATCTCCATCGTCCAACATACCTAGTCTAGCTCACAAGAATAGCCTTGCTTGTAAAACATAACTAGGTCTCTTATGACCATATGTTTTCTATTTACCTCCTTTTTTCCCTTTAAATATAATGCTCAGAGAAATTTCTCTTATCAGTTCCTAAATTTCCAGTTGTGGTAACTGTGATCAAAATATGCAGGAAGCTGATAGAATGTGGAAAGGGACAGTGAATTTCTTAAAACTATCTATTTAAGAAAGAAAAGGTTATGCAAACAAGCTAAGTGGAATTTAAAAGAAGAGATAGTGGAGACTTTATGTAAAGTAAAGACCTAGTGGAAGACATAGTAGCAACGTGTTAGATTAGTAGTAATATGTACAAAAGTATGAATAGTATTAAAGATGTAAAGCAACTATAGTTAGATGTAAAGTAACCATAGTATAGAATAAAGTAACTATAGTAGGGTTACTTATATTTGTATAAATAGATAGCCATTATGGCATAAAGAGGCAAGACTTTCTACACGGAAAGCAAGCCTCTCTTTGTAATCAAAATAACCTCAATAAAAATATATCAGTTTCAAAGCTAAAGCTATGGATCATTATTATTGTTCTTATTAACTCGTATCTATGGTTTTCTCTATTATCCATTTTATACTTCTTTTTTATTACTTAGCTCTGATAATTAGTATTTTGTAATTTAATATCATTTCATCATGTAAGAGGATATTCATAATTATTTAACCATAATTCCCTTATACCATATGCATAACAAATGATCTATATTAGATTACTATAAACTAGATTATTTTAACATGTTTTCCTGTCACTGTTAACATCGTACTTTCAAAGGTAATTACTTCCTAACAGCGCCTTCAACTTTGTTTACTCCCCTCACGGCTTCTTCGCCTATGGTTTCAACCTTAGGATGGCATAGTCTGGAAGTTTTTCCTTTTTTCCTCATGTTAACAAACTAAAAAGCATGCTTAAATAATTCTAGTATATAATAACTAATATAAACTTATTTAATTATGCTATGATATTCAGGAATTAATAGATTTTAGCTATACATAATCATAAATATATGTACCTGTGTGATATCTGTAATATTTTGATCCATAGCTTTAGCTTTGAAACTGATATATTTTTATTGAGGTTATTTTGATTACAAAGAGAGGCTTGCTTTCCGTGTAGAAAGTCTTGCCTCTTTATGCCATAATGGCTATCTATTTATACAAATATAAGTAACCCTACTATAGTTACTTTATTCTATACTATGGTTATTTTACATCTAACTATAGTTGTTTTACATCTTTAATACTATTCATACTTTTGTACATATTACTACTAATCTAACACGTTACTACTATGTCTTCCACTAGCTCTTTACTTTACATAAAGTCTCCACTATCTCTTCTTTTAAATTCCACTTAGCTTGTTTGCATAACCTTTTCTTTCTATCTTGTCGGCTTTTGTTGCTTCTTGTTTTTACTCCAGCTGTACGTCTGGGATTACGTTATCTTCTCCTTGGCATTTAGAACATTGATGTTCCGGATATTTGTGTCCAATTATAATAGGTTTTTCCACATTACCTTTCAAAAAAAGTTAGGTCTTTGTCAGTTCAGGAATTCATTATTAGTCAAGAAACTTCCCTATTTACTTCAGGGGATTACCCCAAGGTTTTCCAAGTGTGTATACAACTTATGATTAACTTAGAATGAGAGACCAGAGAGTGAGAGAGAAACGGAGAATGACAAACTTTGAAAGTCAATTTGGCAGCAATGACGATTGCAGAGAAGAATTGATCTGAAATGAAGCACTTCGTCTATCAACAAAAGGGTGGTTGTTCTGTTGTACTTCTATAGAAGCTATAGAAGCCATTGCAATGTCAAAACATTGTCCAATGCGGGACCAAAACCACCAAAGCAATGGAACCTATTTGGCTCACGTGACTTGGGAATTACACGGGCTTATAATAACTATTAACTTCAAAGAGAACACAAATGAAACCTGAAAAATAAGCTATTGATGGCAGCTTGAAAATATTTGTGATTACACCCTGAAAAACATACCTACATAAAGTTGCCCCCAAGGCCTAGCTCAAGTGGCAAAAGGTGGAGGATTTGTGGCTTAGGTCGCAGGTTCAAGCCCCACACCATGCAAAGCGAAGCCCGGTATTTAAGTGGAGAAGGGTAGAGGGGCGGGCCCATTATCCACCGAGTTTAGAAGGCTGTGATTGGTCCAAAGGACGGGTCACAGACGGATTTCTCGGTTATCAAAAAAAAAAAAAACATACCTACATAAAGTTTCAGATAACTTAGCCAACCTAAAACAGAAAATGCAAAATGTTTATGAATGCATCATCAGTTTGAAATAAAATATTTGGAGATTTGGAAGCACTGAAGATGGGCTGCATCATCAGTATGACACCAGAAACAACTGAATGCATCTTCATAATGCTACTACGGCTCAGACAAATTAGTATATATTTTCAGTGAGGTCAACTGTAAAACAAAGAAATAGTTGGTCTAAGCGCATAGATGATCCAACTACACTACCCGCCAAAAGTAGAAGACATATCTTACTAACTATGAAAAAATGATCATCTTTAAGCCTCACAATATCCAGACATCTTTTAACATCTTGTAATCATAGTCGCTTCACCACTCAAAGTACATACTTGGCCTGCACTTATCGCATTTGATGATCACGCAAGTTGCGCGCTTAGTATTCATAGCCAAGCTACACTTATAGTGGCTGGCCTCTTTAGAGGTGTAAATGGTTAAAGGAAGGATTGGGAAGGTAAAATAATTCATTTCAATTAAATGAAATGATTGGGCTTACTATTTCCTGTGTATTCCTTCCTTTCGATTTAACCAACAAACACCTAAAGAAACACATTCAAGTAAAAAGTTTACCTCCCAGAATCTCAGACATACATTTCACGTGTCAAACTGTACAGAGACCGTAATACATGTGGAAGTCTTTTAATGAGCCTATGAATCTTCCAAGAACATGATAGTCTATCCAAATCCAAAAATGAAAGCAAGATCTAAGAAGTAGCTATATACATAGAATCTATGTCAAAATGGCCAATCCTCTGTGGAGCAACAACTCTATCTTTCCCACACTTCTACTCATCTTCTTTGCTATCTTATTGCTATTTTAGTTTCGGCGGCATGCCACACTCTCTCCTCTTTGTCGCTCTTTTACCCTCTTTTATGCTCCCTCCATACCATTTTATATGATGTTGTTTAGTTGGCATGTAGTTCAAGAAAGAACGAAAGACTTTTGAAACTTGTGGTTTAAAACAAGTCATAGATATTTGTGTGCCTATATATAGGTAAAATAAAAAGGTTTAAGTTAAACTATTTCTACATATAGAACGGTATCATTCTTTTTGGGATAGACTAAGATATCACACTTTTTGCAATAAACTAAAATGGAAAGTGCATTACATAAATTGCGACATCAGAAGTATATTCTTCCTAGTCTCTTTCACAGTTTCTTCATTGCTAAGTTCTGCATTATATACTCTAGTGCAAGTCCCGTATGCTTGGTTATTCTAAATGCAAAAATACATACTTTACCAACTAAAAAAAGGTTCTGCATTATACACTCTACACTCGTCAATCCAGGTTATACATCCACCTTTCTCAACATTTTGTGCAAGCTTCTTGTCTCACATATATAAAATTACTAAATGCAGATTAATTTACGCAATCTTCAATTGTTAAGAAAGATCATACTGTTCACCTCACTTAACTTAACTAATGCATCAAGACTTCCCCTTTCAAACTCCCCACCCCCACCTCCCAATTCCTTCAATTAAAAAAAAAAAAACTAGACAGCAGAAACACCTCATTCACGCCATTTCCACCCCCCACCCCCGATTATATTCAATCAATCAGCTAAGACTCAATGTCAAACTATTTATCGATCCATTATACAAATCATATGTTTCTATTCCCTCTATTTGGGACCATTTCATTCAAAAAGTAACAGGGATTGAATTTTTAAGCTTCAATAAACTCCACCTCCAACAATTTCTCAGTTTTTACAAATCAGCAACACAATCAAAGTAGACATGTAAAAAGGGTTTGACTCGAGCTGAAACATAAACCCCAAGAAAACTAGAAACCCAGAAAAAATAAAGCATAAAGAAGGAAAATTTACAATAAATGGAGAAAAAAGAGAGGAGAAATTTACATGTCCCATGATTTTCTGAAGATTTTTGTTGTTGTTGGCGAATATGTACATGAGACCAATTGGAACTGAGACGTATACTGCGAACTTTACTATCTCTAATACACCCTTTGAAGTCCCAATAGACGACATCGTCTTCTTCTTCCTGCTCAATGAAAATCTGCTGAACTTTAATTTGATTTTCGATTTGCAGAGACGAACGAGAGGATGAGAATTCAGATGCGTGGAGCTTTGAGCTTTAATAGAAAAAATGGCACCGTAAGGTGACCAAATTGGCAAAAAAACTAAATTAGCATCTAATAACTCATTAAGTTGAGTTAAAATAAGAAAAAAAAAATCGAAAGATAAGGTTGTTTTCAATTTTGTATTTGGAAAAGGGCTAAAAATATTCAGTTGAAAAAATAAAAGTCAAAAGGAAAATTTCGCAACTAAAAATAACTTAATTAGGTCTCACAGTTATAGGTTGCATCTTACGATTCGTAGCTACATGTTAGAGGGAGGAGAGAGGCGAGCGAGATTGGGAGAGGGGAGGAGAGAGGCAAGCGCGAGAGGACAGAGAGTGGAGAGAGGTGAATTGTATTTGTATATCTCTCAAATTGTATATGTATATTTGTCAGATAATTGTATATGTGTAACTAGTATACATATGTAATGTATATCTAAAGAGCGAAATTAGGAAAGGGAGGAGAGAGGGCAGAGAATGGAGAGAGGTGAATTGCATATGTATGTTTTGTCATATAATTGTATATGTATATGTATAATTTGTAGTTGTATATGTATAAGAGAAGAAAGAGGCGAGAGAGAAGAAGAGAGGAGAGAGCTACACGTAATTATAGCTAAAAAGAGGTTGTGAGTGGTAATTAATTCAAACTATAGCAATGTTAGCTAATTAACTAGTATATGTTTGTTTATTCGTGTAATATCCCCTACAAAGAATAATTGTAAATCGGTACATGAAATGACTTTTCTCAAAAGTTTTCGAAATTTTTTTAGATGACTTTTCTTTTCTATCAAACACTATATTGGAAAAATTATTAGTATTTCAATTTCTACAAATAAAATCATTGGGATAAAGAATTATATGCTGTTGTAGCATGTCATTATGGTTAAAGATGTACTTTCTAGTTTGGTTTAAGCAAACTACATTTTCAAAAATGAAATGTTAGTCATGGCCTCTCCCTCCTTCCTCTTCATTTTCATGGACCTTCCACACAAGCAAACACCTTAGAATGGTCATAGGATGGACCTTCCACACAAGCAAACACCTTAGAATGGTCATAGGATGCACAATTTGAATTTAGTCGTGGCTCCAATGCAAGACCAAAACACCAAATGAAAAAGAAAAAGGTATAACAACACCTCATGCAATTGAAGTGAAGAGCAAACATGAAGATAATAGAAACAAGGCATAATTCAGCAATTTGGCACTTTACCAACAACGCAATTGTGGCACACTATTAAACTTGAAAATCATGTGTGGCTTAAAACATGTAAAATAGCATATAGCAAATATTCCAAAGTAGCGATAAAACATCCATAGTAGGATTAAAAAGCATGGTGTTTAACTAACAGAATCCTAAGTTGCATTACAGAGCACTAATAACTTAATAACGACATCATTGTACAACTTAAAAACACGCCGCCCATGCCCAAAAACAAAATTGTTGATACTAAAAATGTCTCCGCTGTGACACTTATTCTTCAGCTTTCTTCTTCTTCTTCTTTTTCTCTTTCTTTTTTTCCGTGGTTTCTGATTCATCCTCATCAACATCAGCGTGTTTCCTCTTCTTTTTCTTACTTTGTTCGAGTTCTACATTTTCCACTTCATTATCTGCGTGTTTCTTCTTTTTCTTCTTCTCCTTCTTCCCAGTGTCTTCAGGTTCTGCTCCATCCTCTGTTTCAGCAGACTTCTTCTTCTTCTTCTTTTTCTTCTCTCCTTCAGTAACAGGGGATTCCTCACCTGCTGCTTCCTCGGTTTGATCATCTATACTCATTTTCTTTTCCTCATTCTCAGTGTGTCCCATAACAGAATCAGCAGAAGGATTGTAAACCTACAGAAGGAGAAGTCAATACTGGAAGCAAATCAAGAAAGTATAGCGTAGAAGAAAGGACAGTCCCAAACCTTAGCTGGTGTTATCAGCCCTCCCTTTTTACGATCCTTGTCATAAACTTCAATCTTAGGTTTGCCCTTAGCAGACCCAGCTGATTTGCTCAACTCTTTGCCTTCTAAGGCTCTTAAGCGTGCTTCAAGCTAAAAAAGTTGCATATGATAATAATCAGACTACACAAGGAGCAAGATTGAAAAAAAGATAATAATTAGTACAAACATTACCTTGGCACGATTCTCCAAACCCATGGTATTATCTTGGCTATCTGCAAGAGCATCGTATCGAATAGCCAATGCAGTTTTTGCAGCAAGAGATCTCGAAATTTTACCCTTGTGTTTTGGTGCTGCCTGTCCAATCAAAGATGCATGATATATAAGCCCATACTTTGGAGTTGCGTGTTTTGTCTTCAAAGCTCTGAAAAGAGCCTTTTCAGCACCAAGTATCTGAACTGTACTTCCAGGTTGCTTCGCAAGATTCATCAAGCTACCACCATGAGCAATAAGCCGAGCACCAACAAGTTCTCCAACAAGAGCTGTAAGATTTGGGGCAATGGTGTTCATCCTGCTCTTCAAATAATCATACAACTGAGCTCTGTACTCAGAGAATGACAGAACTTGGGTGCATAAATCTTTAATATTCTCCAGATCAAGATCACTAACTTCAGTACCCATGGAGATCATGGATGCCTCTTTCAATGCAGCCTCAACCTCTTCTGGGAGTATCTGTAAACATTGTCATACAAAAAGTGTGAATTTTGTCTCATGTAATTAAGAATAAAGCATAAATCTTGTAAAAAATGTAAGATTGCTTATTGGACTACAAGATATCACAAGCTTCATTCCAACAAGCAAGCTAGCCAACATACTAATGAATATTACTGAATGAACAGTAATCTACTTTTTTAGTTCAACTCATTTGAAGCATTTAAAAAGAAGCCACTCCTTACCTCAGAGAAATCCAACTTTGCAGCATTTGTACGGTCACCCATCAACTTCACAGCCTTGGCATAAAGAATGTTATCTTGTACAATCTTTGCAAGTTCTGGGAAATGCCAACCATACCATTCACGGACCCTCATAGCATATGTATTTAGCTCTTTATCAAGATCATCCAACAAGCTAATGGCCTGTACAATCATTGTGTCCACCTGTAAAAGAAATAAACAGTCAGTTGTACTGCTATATGATTAACAAAGAGACAAATCAGTAAAGAATATAAAATTAGACAAATAACTGCTACCCCGAAACATATCTATGAGTTTTCATCAAATATCTGAGCTATAGAGAGAACTTCAAGAGGCAGAAAATGGTAAGACTGTAAAACATTCTTTTATATGTTAGTCATAACAGATATACATTGCACAATAGCATAGCCCAAGAACTGTAGTCTTATCCACTACAAGCTAAACAGACTTTACCAGGATTCCGTGAATTACAGGAAACTACATAACCGCAAATGGCAAGAAACTGTCAGATTTCAGGAAACCACATAAACAGAGTGTAACTACTCAAATTACATGTGAAGCATCATAAGGGTTACATATGGAATGAGCATAAAATTGGCTGCATAAACAATTGAGATTTGCCAGCCTAAATGTTCCACCATCAGAGCATACTTTATGGAGAACAGTATTCCATGTTTTTTGTAAATTATACTCTTTAGACCTTCTGTTACAGTTGCAAATTAAACTTCAAGCAAGCATCACAATTGACAATTTTCAGGGTGAAATCAAATAATTTAGACTATCTAAAATTCCTATAATGGCCATCTAGCATCATCAGAAATTGTATAGAATAATGATATCCAATAACAGATTACAATCTCAAATTAATTAAGATAAAAGTAATACTAAAGAAACTTAAGCAGAAAGGATACAAGATAGAACATACAAAACCAGAGTGGTGTTCCGTAGCAGTTGAATTTTTTATAAGGTCAACGCCCCAAATCCCTTACCCAGGAATTATGGTTAGTCCTTTTCCACTATGTTCCCCTGGTGGATTGAACCCCTAACCTCATCATTGAAGGTGGAGGAGGATCCTTTCATTCGCTATATTTCTACTTTATAGACTAGACTAACCTTCCTTTTTCTCCATGCAATCAGTTATCCCAATATTTGCCAATATTTGTTATGTAAGAATATCCATAATGAAACCATATAGAACATGAAAAATCAGTCAACTTATAGCAATTTACCTTGTCAGGGCTAAACTTTAGCTTGTATCTTGAAAGACTGTGAGATAAACCCAAGCTCATTGGAGCCAAGTCTTGAGATGCAAGACCAGAAATGAGCTCAGTCAACTGACTTCTAACTCCTCTCATTAATTCCATGACAGCATTATTATGAACACAATCAATTTGCTGCACACACATCCCACACCAACTTCAGCCAAAAAATTATTGAGAACCAAAACAAAAAAAAACGATGAACTGACATAAGAAGGAAGCTGACCAATTTCTCTTTAATTGCATTTCCAAGCTTTGAATCAGCAACCGCCAAAGTTTCACCATCACAGTGTGCTTTCAAGAACTTGCGCAGTCCTTTGCTGGGCTTGCTATCTATCAATAACGTAGCTGCTGACAGAGCTTCTGAGGTGTTCTCAAACTTGGAGAAAGCTTTTAGCTTCACAACCTGTTTTCATACCAACCAGTCAAGTAAATGAAGAATGTATGAAACACAAAGTTAAAAACTTTACAAGCACAATTTATGTCCAAATTTCAAAACATGCTACACCAAGATTTCTACTTCACGATTAACTCATCAAATGGTTTGTCCAAAAAAAATTACCTTTCTGGCGGAATCAGTTGAGGAGAAGTCCTTCCACAAATCCTGCAACAAACACACAAAAAAACGATTCTATAAAACATAAAAACACAGAAGAAAAAAAAGGGTAAGAGATGAATGCTATGATACCTCAACTTTGGAGAGCTTTCCCTCATCCAAAACTTTGAAAAGGGCAAAACCTGCCGGTGTTTCAAACAATACCAACATCTCCGGAAGAAGCTGTAACCAAAGTGTTTAAGGATTATCTTTAAGAAAAAACACTACACAGAAGGAGGAATACTCAAACCATAAATCTATTATTAAGACTTAAGCATAAAAAATAATGTTACCTTTTTCCGGTGCGGCGATTCTAGAAGGACGCCGA